CTTAGGGATGCGCCCTCAAGAAAAGAAGGGGATCCCTGAGATTGGCATCATGATGAGGAGATGCCCAGCATAGGGATAGGGGTATGTTCCAGGCTGGTAAACAGTGCAGGAGGGATCTTCAGAGAAATAGTCGAAGAATACTACGGGGACCATTTTTTGTTGACTGTGTTTTGAGCATGTGGGGAGTATTCTTGGAGCATACATTTTTTTTTCGCCCAAGATCCCCCTGTAGGGGGACAGGCCCGACCTAAGTCTACTAGCCGACGCCGATCTTGGTCATGGCCCATGCCGGCCGTCGCCGATCCGCGAGGATCCGCGAACTGGCGCGGACCCCGGCCGGCGGTGGCCGATGTGGGCACCGACGCTTCCGCGTTCAAGCTTGGCCATGGTGCCCGTTGCCTTCCCTAGGGGGCCACAGCCGAACCCTACCCCCACCCCCCACGAGTTCTGAGGGGGAGGGTGGGGTTCACTGCGCTCGTGACCTCCCGAATGAAGTGAACCCCACCCTCCCCCTCAGAAATCGTGGGGGTCCCAGACCCCCGACGTCATGATTTTTTCATGACGCGACCCCCAGAGGTCTGGACCTATTCGCCGGGACCGGTTTTTCACCCCGAGTCGTTTTTTGACGGTCCCGAGGGCCGGTAAGGGTCCCCGGAGGCCGAAAACATAGAAAAACCTCCCGTCGTGATTTTTTCATGACTCGAGGGGGTCTGGGGTAGGGGTAGGGTTCGGCCGTGGCCCCGATATTCCCCTCGGCTCGCGCGCGGAGCGCGCCAGGGGGGGGAGCGCCGGAGGCTCCGCCCAGGGGCCCAGCGCAGCGCCCAGAAGTCCACGCGCGGAGCTCCGACAGCCTCGCCCCGTGCTGGCCCCCTCGCGGCCGCGGCCCTGCGGGTGTTCGCTTTTGCCGCGGACGCCCCGCGCGGAGCGTCTCCGTGCGACCGCGTGTCCGCGGGACCGCGCCCTGGAGTCCGGACCGCGAGTGCGCGGATACGGATCGGGTGTTGCTGGAATCGGACAGGGCTAGGACGAGGGTGCATCCGTTCCAGGGCGTTCCGGAACGCTCCCAGAGCGTTCCAGAACGCTCTGGGAAGGCCTCGGCGCCCGAGACGTCCTCCAGAGCCGCGGGGATCTCAGAGATCGATTTATCCTCGCCCGAATATATCTTCGTCTTGGCTTCGTCTTACTGTAGGACCCCTGGCCCAAGGCGCCCCTGGGAGTTCCAGGGAGGCCCCCCCGCGGCCTCCTGAGCACCCCTGGTGAGGCCCAGGCAGCCCCCAAGAGGCGCCCAAAAGTGCAGCGAAGAGCTGGGGGCACTCTTGACCAGGGGCACCTTGAGCAACCCTCGCCCTCATTCTCGAGTTTGGAGAACTGTGAAGGACCAATCCTCGCCCTCATTCTTCCAGACCTTCCGTGCTGACCTTCCACACACTTGCGTTCCGTGAAACGCTGAGTTGTCTTGCGCCTCCCGAGGCTTTCAATAGTTTCAATGCATCACCTTCCGCGCCTTCGCGGAGGTCGGAAGGTATGGAAGATGGCATGGTTTGTTTCATGAAGCGACCCCCAGAGGTCTGGACCCATTCCCCAGGACCGGCCTTTCACCCCGAGTTGTTTTTTGACGGCCCCGAGGCCCAGTGAGGGCCCCCAGAGGCCGAGGATAGCGAAGAAGAAACCTCCCGGCGTGCGTGTTTTTGTCCCACCTTGGGCGTTGCGTAATGGAGGGGTCATAAATGGGGGGGTGTCGCGGGTGGTCCGAAAAGGTACCCAAACGGTACCTAAACGAGCCCCCTGGGGCTCCAGAGCGGCTCGAAAGGGGCACGAAAGGGGACCGTTTCTGACCCCCCCATTTGTGACCCCCCCATTAAGCAACGCCCAACCACCGCGAGGCGGTCCGGGCTCCGCTCCTGGCGCAAAAAAAGCGCCCCGACTCGGAGCCGGCGCGTGCCCCCCTTGCGCGCGCCGCCGCAGCGTGCCCGCCGCTCGTGTTTTTTCTTTGTGCTCCTTTTCGGGGGTGGTCAGAACCCCCAGCAGTGACACGCCGATTCGTGAATCGTCCGTTTTCGGTGTCCGAGAGGGCGCCGTGGCCGTCATTTTCCAGGCTGGCGCCCGCCAGGTTTGGGCCTCGGGGGTAGTGTTCACTAAGCCACGTTTTGCTAAAGGGGGGTCTGTCCATCCCCGCTCTTTGTCTCCCTCCGTGAGGAAGCGCGTCGGCATCCCGCGGGTGCGGCTGCCCTACGCGAGGCCCGCGGCGCCCCCCCCTTCGCGGGGCGAAGCCTCGGCCGCGGCCCCCCCGGCGGCCCGCGGGGGGGCTGTCGGGAGGCCCGCCTTGGCGTCGCTCGGACGTGTGCGTTTTTTCTCTCGGCGAGGACCCTCGAGGAGCATCCTTGATCCTTTGGCGAAGAAGAGAAGCCACGCACGACACCGACAAAAAAACACAGGGAATGGACGTCCGAACGATGGCAGGCCGCGGGGGGCTCCGAGGCGCTCCTTGGGGGGGGGGGGGGGGGCGTCCAGGGGGGGCTCGAGGGGGTTCTCGGAGGAGGGAATGGCACCCACGGCCCTGCTCCCTCGCCCGTGTTGCCCCTTGTTGGGGCCTCTCATGGGAGGCCCGCGTCGCCACCGCTGGACTCGCCTCGGCACCCTGGTCAGAACGCACCCCCTGGGAGAGGTCCTGGGAGGAGCGGCATCGGTACTCCAGATCCTTCAATCCGCCCCCCCCCCCCGTGCCAACCTGTCCGGCGCCCCTTGCCCGCCCCCCCACGCGCCCCAAACCTACCCCCTCTCGCTCCCCAACCTCCCCACGCCCCCCGAAGGACAGCGGTTTCCCACCCCCCACCGTGGCATCGCTCGGACGTGTGCATGTTTCTCTCGGCGAGGACCATCAAGGAGCATCCTTGATCATTTGGCGAAGACGCCACGCACGAAACCGACAAAAAAAACAGGGAATGGACGTCCGAGCGATGGCCAGCCACGCGATCCTTCCCCCCACGCTTCTTGAGAGATCCGGAGTAATTACTTGTTTTGTTTCCCCACTAGGGGCTTCGAGGGGTTCGAGGCGTTCGATGGGGGCTCGCGCGAGAGGTTCGGGGGCGGTCCTGCGGAGGTGCGAGAGGTCCGATGGAGGTTCGAGGAGGCCTCCTCCTCTTCCTCCTCTTCTTCCTCCTCCTCCTCCTTCTCCTCTTCCTCCTGCATCTGCTTCTTTTCCCTCTTTCTTCTCCTCCTCCTTCTCTTCCTCCTCCTCATCCTCCTCATCATCATCGTCTCCCTTCTCAAGGGAGGCGCGGAGCCGTGGCCAGGAGCTCGAGGCCCGCGGGATCGAAGGATCGAGGGTTATGTTGTTCTAGCCTACTTTCGCCTTGATCCCCCGAAAGAGTTCCGAGCATCTGAAAATAGCACCGAAGCTCGAGGGTTTTCACGTGTCGGGCCCCGGAGACTCTCTTTCGGCACCCTTTCGGCACTCTTTCGACACTCTTTCGACACGTCTCCGGGTGCTCGAAATTATCTCTGGGATGTGGTCCTTAAGTGCGATGGGAGCAACATAAATCGAGGGGGGGAAAGGCCCTGAAATGCACCAGCTGTTCAAGGCTTGAAGGGGCTCAAGGTTTTCGGACGCGTTCCTCGGCTCGCGGCGGCCTTCCAGCCTCGGGGTGCTTCCCGGCAGCCGCGCCTCGCCGCGGGCGTTCCGCGGGTGCCCGTCCCGAACGGCCGAGGGGGATCGGGGGCCCCCAAACGGGGTGGTGACCACACCGTGCGGTGAGTCGGTGGGGATTCGGGGTCACCACACGGTTTTGGGACTCGAGTCGCTCTCCTAGGACGTCTCGGGCGACAGGGGCCTCCAGGGTCCCAAAACCGTGCGTGGACGGACCGTGCGGTGAGGTCTCTTGGGGCTCCGAGGTCACCGCACGGTCTGTCACCGCAACGCTTCGGGACTCCAAAGGGGAGCCGAGTTACGACCCCGAGAGCCCTCAGAGATCCGACGCCTCGAGCCAATTGAAGCATCGTGGGAAATCTTAAGTCGGGCCTGTCCCCCTACAGGAGGATTTTCGACGAAAAATAAAATGCACCCCAGAAATAATTAAAATGGTCAGGGGACTATTTTTTGAGCATTTTTTGTCGTTTTGGAGCCTTTTTGGAGTATTTTTTGTTTTTTTTTTGAGGAAAATCCCCCTGTAGGGGGACACGCCCGACAGGAGGGAATTCACAGCTCGAGCCCTACAGACCGTACTTGTCTGAGCCAGCCTTCGAGCCGGATCGAGCTGCGGGGCCCCAGGGCCCAGGGCCAGTCGAGAGCGGCGCCGGACTCGGCAGCAGTGAGCCGCCCAGATCTCGGGCAGCTCACGGGGGGGACCGACCCGGCCCTCGTTTTTTGGGCGCTGGGGCACTCGCGTCGGGGGCGGGAAAGAGGGGGGTGATGACTAGGGGGGGGTGGATATCATGAAGTGGGCCAGGATATTTCCCCAGATCTCATGGCGCCTCTTCTTATTCCATTACGTCCCTGGCCCCCCGCTGGGCCGCGCACATGCCGCTGGTCATGATTTGCACCCCCCCCCCTCTTGGACCCCTCCTCTTGGCCGCTCCCGAGATCGGTCCGGCTGGACAAACCCCGTAGACGCGCTAATTAACGGCAGTGTAGGCACAACGGCGGTGTAGGCCACGGCATGGTAGGTTGGACTGGTTCGTGGCTGAACCAGTTTCAGGACCTCGTGGCTCGTGCTTTCCTACGCTTCGCGGCGTCGCTCTCGCTCGATAAATTCGCAGATTTGAGCCGTAGGGAAGTGTGGTTCGTTATTTCCTACAATTTGATCTGCGCGAGCCCGGTGCCACAACCATTATATTCTCAACATTGCCGTTAACCAACATCGCCGTTAGCGCGGCCTTAGAAACCCAGACGTCTTTGAGGGCTGAAACATAGCACCAGCACCTCGACATCTAAAGTCCAGTCGAGGTTTTTGAGCGGTGCAATCCAGATGGGTCTATAGGTCCGGAGGGTTATTTCGTAGCACTCTGGAAGGCCAGGGAATGGAGCAGAAAGATGGGGCCATGGCCATGGCTCTGGTCGAGTTTGCTCACGATGTTGTATTTGTTTCGTCACGTCGGATCTCAGGGCAGGGCCTCCATGATCGCAACATTTTTGGGCCTCTCTGGGGGCTTCTCGTGGCCAAAGCTGGATCGGGATTCTGGTCGGACGGCACCCCAGGAGAGGTCCAGCGCATCGAACAACAATGGGAATGAAGGTTCTCGTAGTGTTTTCGGCTTCCGGGGGCCGTCGCCAGACCCAGGGCGTCAAACAAGTGCTCGGAACGACGAACTGGCTCTGGGGAAAGGACTGGGACTTCTGGGGAGCCCGTATATCAAAAACACCAGCACGTCGGATCTCTGGTCTCATTCCTCCTTCCGCGGATGGAGTTCGGGTCGGTCGTTCGGCAAGAGTGCGAGGGCCCGCGTCGCAGACAAACGAGATGTGTCATCACGTTCAGATGTCAGGGCTCTTCGACGTCGTGGGCAGAGATCCGACCAGAGCTCCCTGCCTTCTCTTTGCGTTTGGTTCCGCTGGCCATGTCGATCCGCGAGGGTCCCGCCGCAGCCGCGCAGCAAGCGTCTTGGAGACACTGCCATCCCCCCCAGATGCCAGGGCCCGATTGATCTGGGACTGAGCTACGCTCACACAGTTGTCATCAGGGGGAGGCATACTCCTAAGTGTGCCCCTGCGTCTTTGCCTCTTCGGCCCGTCCTCAGCCGCTTTCGCTGGCGGGCCACTCCGGCTGCAGAGCTGGCGGCGTCCCTGGACTGCGCGGCGCGACGCGCCCATTCGGCCAGGACCAGGGTCGGTTAGGGTACACATTGTTCATGTTTGATTCTTCGAAAGGTCTTTGGCTTTTTGGGGGGCCAAGATCCTTTCATTTCTGATTGTTCTGTCCTGGGCCTCTTCCTGGCCACCAGGGGGCCAGGAACAGTTAGAAGCGAGCGCAATTGGAAGTGAGCACGATGAGAAATGAACGACGTGTACTCTTCCTTCCTGGGGACCGTCTCCGCGCGCCCACAAAGGTCAACTGGGGCCTCCAAGGGTCCTGCGTCCTTGCCGCGCGCCCTTGTGACAGCTGTTGGTTGTAGGTCGCCCGCGTGGGGGGCCCGGAGAAGCGCGCTTCTCGCGGCCTGGGCCGGCACGGCCCCTCCTCCTCCTCCTCCTCCTCCTCCTCCTCCTCCTCCTCCTCCTCCTCCTCCTCCTCCTCCTCCTCCTCCTCCTCCTCCTCCTCCTCTCCTCCCCTCCTCCTCCTCCTCCTCCTCTCCTCCTCCTCGTCCTCCTCCTCCTCCTCCTCCTCCTCCTCCTCCTCCTCCTCCTCCTCCTCCTCCTCCTCCTCCCCCTCCGGGGGCGCGTGCCTCGCAGTTGTGTGGCTAGCCTCTGGTGGGCAGCCCTGGAGGTACCTGAGCTTCTGCTTGGGGGCCCCGACGGAGTGCACCATGCAGGAGCTCAGGGGAGACGCCTCTCCATCGAGCCGCGGTTCACAGGAGCTGTGAGGTGGCGCGCGGGCCGCGCGACCGTCACTCAGGATGCAGCTCTCGGGAGGTCACATTCGTCACGCTATCCCCACCAGCTCGCTCGGAAACCCTGCACATGCGAGTTCACTGGAAGGTGGGACGCAGAGACACACCTGGTAAAATACAGCGGGCGACCAGGATGAGCAGGTGGTCGTTTTTTATTCATTGTTTTGCCGATCGGCGCGGGCCCTTGCATACCCCCCTCCCTCCACCCCATGGAGTGGATCTTGGCTGCTTTTTGGCGTGTTCCGATGTAGGAAAACCAAATGTAGGAAGGCGTGGTCCGTGTCCAAACCAATTGTAGGAACACGTGGTTCGTGTTTCCCTACAACTCGCTGTGTAGTTTTCGTGTGAGACATTCGCATCTTTGAAATGTAGGAGACATCGTTTCGTGATTTCCTACGTTCTGTTCTGCGTGAGCTCGGTGCCACACACACACAGCAGATTCCCAACCGCACCGTTGATCAAGCACACCGTTGGCGCGGCCTTAGTAGAGGGCCTCTTGAGACCATCTGGAAGGCAATCGATCAAAAGAAGGGGGGTCCTGGGCCTCTTGGGGCGCTCCTGGGCCTCTTGGGGCGCTCCTGGGCCTCTTGGGGTTTCCCCCTCCCCCCGGGCCTCTTGGGGCGCTCCTGGGCCGACATCGTTGACGCTGCTTGGGCCGTTTTGGGGGGACTGGGGCCCTCCTAGGGGCTCTTTCGGGCCATCCTGGGGAAACCTTAGCGCCTCACAGCGCACCGGAAGCGACGCGACGAGAAGGCACACATCATTGAGGTCGTGTAGGTTTTTGAAAGATTTGGGCCTCCTGGGGGGGGGGTCCCGAGGGGCTCCGCGAGCACTTGGAACCGTCTTGTGGCCCTCGTCGGGCCTCGCGGAGGCATGTCGGAAGCTATCGTGAACCATATTCGGCGATCTCGAGCCGCTTTGGAGGCCATCTGAAAACATCAGGGACCCTCTTAGAGTCATCTTAGACGACACAGGATCCCCTATCACCTCGCGAGGCCATTCAAGAAACCTCAGGGATGGGAGGGGGAGGGCACCTCTCCCTGAAAGGAAGAGGGGTTTTGGAAGAGAGACAAAAACCTCGTTGGACCACCTACGCCCAGAGGGCTGGTGGGATTCAGGATGGGCGCTGGTATATCCCTGTTCAGATAATCTGCCAAGTCTCGTTCAAGCCCATTCCCGCTTAATCCGATTTAGTATTGCTTGAAGCCCAAAGTCGTTCTGACGGGGACCTCCCGTGAGTTGCTTCCTAGCATTCGGGCGACTTGTGTTTTCCATGCCGCTGTTGCCCAGCCGTACCGCGGTCACGCTGGGCACCCGCTGGCCCATCACGTGGCGTGCTCGGCACAGTCGACAGTCTCGGTGGCAGCAGCAGGAGCAGGGTATCCTGGGGGGGGGGTGCGTTGCATGCATCTAGCGCTCATCCCTCCCTTTTCCTTAGAAGTGACTCTCCCTTCTCACCGTCTATGATCCTGACGCTTGGAAGTTACAACACTTTCACAGATGGAGGGCGGCACGTTTTCAATATGTGGCTCTCGCATGAGCGCCGCACACAGTCGCCTCGAAAGTTCGCAGAAGTTCCAAGGATGGGGAGGGATTCCTTTTGAAGATGTGGCTCTCGCGTTAGCGAGGCGCACATGTATTTCAAAGTTCGGAACCGCTTCATGAATGGAGAGCGATTCCTTTTTTAGATGGGGCTCTCGCCTTAGCGCCGTGCACATACGTCTCAAAGATGTGTTGCTATTTGAGGGGTTCGTATGCTGAAGTCCCGGGAATGGTGTTCTGGTACGACTCAGGATGGTCATGACGCAACACTGAGTTCGATTCGCGGCGTTGAAACCTCAGGAGTGGAAGTGAGGCACGATTGTGGATTCTTCAGATGTTGTCTTCCACTGAAATCAAGGGCTTGCACGGGCATGCGAAGAGGGAGCCAACAGGGGGGGGGCGTGTATGGCAACTTCGTTGATGCGACTTGGGTTTACGCTGGTCCTTTCCTTTTCCTCCTCCTCGCCATCATCTTCTTCCTCCTCCTCCTCCTCCTCCTCCTCCTCCTCCGTCTTCACCTGTCCCTTCTCTCCCTCCTCCTCCTCCTCCTCCTCCTCCTCCTCCTCCGTCCTCCTCCTCCTCCGTCCTCCCCTGTCCCTCCTCCTCCTCCCTCCCCCTCCTCCATCCTCCCCTGTCCCTCCTCCCTCTCGAGGCCGCCTGGTCAATATGTGTACACTGCCTGCCCCTCGGCTCTGGCAGGCTCGCCCCGCCGCGGCCATCCTCGAGGCCGAACGCCGCCAGCGGCCAGCATCGGCCCGAGTGGAACGCCCTGGGCATCGATCGAACGCGCAAGGATATACCAGTGCTATATGTCTGCACTCCCAGACCCCCGACGTCATGATGTTTTCATGGCGCGACCCCCAGAGATCCGGACCCATTCGCCGGGACCGGCTTTTCACCCCGAGTCGTTTTTTGACGGTCCCAGGGGCCGGTAAGGGCCCCCCGAGGGCCGAAAACATAGAAAAGCCTCCCGTCGTGTTTTTTTCATGACTCGAGGGGGTCTCGGTTGGAGGCGCGCGTCCGACCCGACCACGCACTGTAACCATCTCGTCGCAGATCGTTTCCCGAGCGACATGGCCAGAAGGTGCACGGAGCTCATACTATACGATTTCTCGGCGCGCGCCTCGCCCCTGGGCGGGGGGCGACGCACATGCAGTATTAGGTCGGGCAGGTCCTCCTACAGGCGGATCTTCCACGAAAGGTAAGACGATATTCAATCAATACCCCACAATGGTCGAACATGCTCGAAGCATCGTCCCCCGACTATTTTTTTAAACCCTCTTTGAGTATTCCTCCCGTAGAGGGAAAGGCCCGACTGTAACGTACAGTCAAAAACCTCAATAAGGACGCGCGACTTTGCTCAGGGTACCCTTGCGTCCTTGCTCCTCCTTGCTCTTGCGTCCTTGAGGTTTCCGTCGTCCGCCGCCCCAGAAATCCCAGCTTCGGTTTCCAAGGGTCTTGCGTCCTTACCGCGCGTCCTTATTAGGGCTTTTGACCTGTAGCGTGTTGGGGTGACGCCTCGAGGATGGTGTTCTTGGCGCGCCGATGACGGCAACACCAATCCATTTTCCCTGTGGGACCGCGCCCCCTGATCCAGTCCATGGCGCACCTTGTCCTGTGCAAGATCTTCGGCACCGCCTGCTTTCTGCGCCCTCCCGCCGCCGGAGGCCCCGCCCCCCCATGCCCTGTCTCCCCAATTGGGGCTACCCGCGCCCTGTTTAGCTCGTGACCGGAAGGGGCCCGCTCCCGACCCGCCGACCAAAAAAAGTTCGGAGGTCCGCGCGGACTTATTGGCTCTGCCCTGAACCCCCTCCTTGGCGCGCGGAGCGCGCCAAAGGCGCCGCCGGGGGGTTCCGGCGCAGATACAAGAAATCCTCGCGGCGCTCCGGAAGTTCATGTGTATGCAGTTGTTCGTCTTCGAATGTCTGCCCGCTCCCGACCCGCCGACCAAATAAATTGGGGTGACGCCGCATCGATCGGGGGCGGCGAAGAGGGTGGTGATGACTAGGGGGGGGGGTGGATATCATGGCGTGGGCCATGATATCTCCCCAGATTTCATGGCGCCTCTTCTTATTTCATTACGTCCCTGGCCCCCCCGCTGGGCCGCGCACATGCCGCCGGTCATGATTTTCACCCCCCCCTCTTGGACACCCCCCTCTTGGCCGCTCCCGAATCGAACAGGCGCCGATCTCGCCAGCCGCAGCGGGGCCCGCGCGGCGTCGGCACCCCAGCGCGGGGGGGGGCCGCCGCGGCGCGGGCCCGCCGCGGCCCGCCTCACGGCGCCCTTCGCCGAGCGAGAGCCGAGGGCTCGGAGGGGCTCTCCGAGCCCTCTCTCGTCGAGCCCTCTTCCGCCCCGCCTCCCCCCCCCCCTAAATCGTCGGCGCTGGCGTCAGCCTGCTGTCGATCCTCTCGTAGATGATTATCTTGATAATCTTTTCCTCCACAGCTCGCGCCAGCGACACAACAATCTGTAAGATATCTCGCTAGCCCCTGGTGGGCTGAAACAGTCACTCACTTGGTGAGTGTGTGGCCGGTCGGCCGCGCCCGGTAGCCTTACCGGGACTCAAGGGCGCCCTCGGACCTAAACAGCAACAGTAGCAGTCGCTCGGTCTCGGGGCGTCTCGGATCGGAAGGCCAACTGCACTATACAAAACACACAGGGGAAAATCCTTTTGGCCTTCGATCCTGCCTGAAAATCATCTCTGGTAGCGGCGCTACTCTCGCATACATCTCGCTAAGCGAGCAGATCTGAAATATGAAATAAAATCTCCGCGGAGCGGACAGATATATAAGATGAGATGAAATCCCCGCGGAGCGGTCAGGTATGTAAAATAAGATGAAATCCCCGCGGAGCGGGAAGATATGTAAAGCTACATTGTCGCAGAGACTCGACTAAATCAAATCAAATCAAAAACCTCGCAAAGGCGAGCGATATGGATAAGAAACCACCTGGCCGAACTCACTCTTCAGCATGAACTTGTGGTTCCTCGGCGAGTGTCGGCTTCTCGGCGAGAATATCGAGTCCCCTCAGACCTCGTTTCCTCGCAGACTCGAACTCCGGGTCATGAAGCAGCGTCCAGTAGCTCCTGCACATGAAAACATCTAATAGTTTCTGCGCCTCGTACTTTATCTTCGTGCAACCATCTGCTACCTGCGCATGAGAATGAACCCAACGAAGCTCGGCACCGCACTCTTGAACTCCTTGCTTGAACGCCATGCACTCGATAGCGGCGCGCTTGTCGCTGAGACCCAGTGCTGAACTCTCCGAACCAGTAACTGCATCGTATAGGCTCTTGCAGTCCGTGACGAGAACACTCTGTGGTCCCTTCTTGATCATGTCGTAACGCTTGTCGCCCTTGAGCTGCACATCTGCGTTCAGCATCTCCATCCAAGCTAGCTGTGTATACTCCAGCTCCTCCGCGGCCTCGCTTGCTGCTTGGATTTCTGCACCCAATGATGAACGGCACTTTCGTGTCAGCTTCTTGGAAGCTCCCGTGAATACTGTGAACTTCTGCTTCTTGCCGCTGAGCGCCTCCACCTCGGTAGTGCACACAACATAGCCTCCTTGACTGCTCCCATCTGCTCTTGAACACCACGATGCATCGAACCAACATACCCACGCCATCTGCTTATAAGGATGTATGGTAACTCCTGTGCTCGCAAACTCGTGAATAGTCTTGACCAGCTGGTTGATCCTGCCGAGGTCCTTGACCGTCGCACTGTTGACAACCGCTTGTAGCATAGAAACGTGCACAGCAATTTGAGGCATCGTCTGTGTTGAAAGCCATTGAGCTTGACCAAGGATGGCACGGCATGCAGTCACTTCTCCGGCTGTCAGCTTGTCGTCCGGACTAGCCTTTCGGCCTCTCTTGACGTTGATCGGCTGGATGGTCTTGGCATACTTTTCTTGACTTAGCCTGAAGCCTCCATCTGGATTTCTGGAAACTTCAACTCCACAAACTGAATAGCCAGCCTCGTCTGACTTCCACATGCCCCATCGGTATAGCGTCTTGAGATGCTCGTACTCCACGTTGAACTCCACGTTGGTGAGGTCACCCGCAATCTGGAAGTCATCCACATGCACCAGGATGAGCCCGATCACCTTGTTGTCTGAGTTCAGCTTGGTGAAGAGACACGGCTCGAGCTTGCATGCATACCAGCCTCTGCTCTCTAGATCCTTCTTGACCTTCTCGTACCACCGCCTGGGTGCATTCGTAAGTCCATAACAGGCCTTGAGAATCTGCACAACGTCATCGTCATTGAGCTGTAGTGCTTCTCGTAGTTGTGGTACTGGTAGTGCATAAAGCTCTCGCTCTTCCTCTGTAGCTTCCCCTTGCAGGAACGCTGACGAAGCATCCGCAAGCCACGTCTGCCATTTCTCGTTGGCCGCCTTCTGGTATAGCATCTGGCGCGCTCGCCTCGAGGGTGTTGGCGATTCGGTCTTGAGCGTCTCGAGGTCCTTGTCGGTGTAGCCGATGAGTACCAGTCTGGCCTTGGCCTTCTTGCCGCCTTCCGCTTCTGGATCCTCCTTCCAGGTAAGTACCCAGCGCATCTTCATCAGGTCGACGTCCGGTAGCTTGCTCCGAAGTACACCTCGGCACGCCTGCGCGAGTAGAAATTGATCAACTTCTTTCTTCATAGCCACGTCGAACTTCGCCTTGTCCTTGTCGTCCAGCTTCTTGTAGCTGACCTCGATGCGCTGCCTCCTAGCCTGTGTAGCCACGTACAGCCTGGGGTCCTTCACGAAGCGGTTGAGGGCGTCCCGGGAGGGGACCGCGATAGACAGGTAGACGGCATCCTGGCGCTCGGTGGTGACGTCCTGGTCCTCGCTAGTCTT